TGGCCATGGTATCAGGAGGACACCAGGCCGGGCCAAATAGGCGGCCAAGGGGAAAGAAGAGAACTCTCGATGAGATGTATTGACGCAACAGGCAACATTTCCTTCTTTTGTATGTAGAGTCTCAGTGAGATAGAACTCAACTGTGCCTAACAACTGTGACATCAGAGGAAATATTTAGCAGAGGCCCTGCTTAAAAAATGTTACACATTGGGCTGCGGTCAGAAAGGTCCACAGTTTGAAACCACCAGCTGCTCCCATAGAGTTACAGTTTGGAAACTAATGGGGGTATTTCTACCTGTTCTACAGAGATGCTATGAGTCAGCATTGACTTGATGGCAGTGATTTTGTTTTGTTTTATGTTTTCTTGAGTATATGGAGTGGCAGATGCAGGAAAAGATCATGGCTGGGGAAACTTTGGGAGGCATCAGCTTATTATTGTAGGCGTCATCCAGTTGGTTCCAATTCATAGTGAATTGTGAGAATTTTTGTTTTCTTTATGTTGAGATGTAATCTATACTGAAGGCTAAAGTCTCTTCTTTATCGATAAATGCTTCAAATACTCTTTGTTTTCAGCAAAGTTGTGTCATCTGCATATCACAGGTTGTTTCTGCTGCACAACATTCATGATTTTAAACCACACATATTCCCTGTTGTGTTTGAATGACTGCCTGTTGGTCTCTGTATAGGTTCTACATGAGCACAATAAAGAGTTAGAAAGTTCCCACTCTTTGCAATGTTATCCATAGTTATAATGATCCACACAGTCATGTTCCCTTGCATAGTCAATAAAACACAGGGAAATATCTTTCTAGTATTTTCTGCTTTCAGCCAAGATCCACCTGGCATCAACAGTAATCTCTCTCATTCCATGCTCTTTTCTAAATTCAGCTTGAATTTCTGATGGTTCCCTGTCATCATATTGCTGCAACCATTTTTGGATTGTCTTCAGCGATATTTTACTTCTCTGTGATACTAATTTCCATATTCAATATGTGGCAGTTATATAATCTGTCAACTTGAGTGAAGGACTTGAGTCTAGCCATCAATCAGCTCATAGCCAATGAGGCTTCTGCATGGGCATGGCCTTCTCTTGAGGATTTTGGGAACTCCTGTCTCCCTCCCTGGAGGTGATACACATTCTCTCTGCTTTGTCTTCCTGCTGACAAGCCACATGGAGCTATGCTGATGGAGCCAGAGCCCTGGAGCTGGAGGAGCCGTGTGGAGACCCACGCCAGCGCTGAGATGCTTCCACCGCCACTAGATCCACAAGACTTTCCACCCACTGGCCTGTGATCTTCCTGCATTCAGTGTCATTGTATGTGTTGCATTAGTCTGAAGAGGAATTTATAGCCTGGTATTGGACATATGGGCTACTATTGGACATATGGACTTGGTCTAGACAAGGTTGGGATGTTTTCTCAATACACAATTACTCTTTGATATAAAGCTCAATCTCTTTTTGTAATCATTTTATTGGGGGCTCAGACAACTCATCACAATCCATACATACATCAATTGTGTAAAGCACATTTGTACATTTGTTGCCCTCATCATTCTCAAAACATTTGCTTTCAACTTGAGCCCTTGGTATCAGCTCCTCATTCTTCCCCTCCTTCCCCACCCTCCCATCCTCATGACCCCTTGATAATTTATAAATTATTATTATTTTGTCATGTCTTACACTGTTCAATGTCTCCCTTCACCCATTTTTCAGTTGTCCATCCCCCAGGGAGGGAGTTGTATGTAGATCTTTATGATCGGCTCCCCCTTTCTACCTCACCCTCCCTCCACACTACCAGTATTGCCACTCTCACCACTGGTCTTGAGGGGATCATCTGTCCTGGATTCCCTGTGTTTCCAGTTCCTAGCTGATAGAAAGCTCACTCTTATACACATCTGAGTGTCTCTGATTTGTTTCTCTAGCCAACTCAGACTACGACACAATAATTTCCATATTGTTAGTTTTCTTCGGAGTGGGCATGAATGTGAATCTCTTCTAGTCATTTGGACAGATAGCTGACTTTCAAATTTCTTAGCAAAGACAAATGAGTACTTGCAACATTGCATTCATTTATTGAAACATCTCAATTGGTTGTTCATTAATTCCTGAAGCCTGGTTTTTCATCAATGCCAGACATCCACGCAGGGCTATTCTTTCTTTCCTGTTTAATCAATGGCTTTTTGTTTTCTTCACTTAGAATGTTCTTAATATCATCTCACAACTCTCTGGTCTTTAATCATTAGTGTTCAATATGTTCATTCATGAGATGGTCTCTGAATTTAAGTGGGATATATTCAAGGTCATACTTTGGCTCTTGTGGACTTGTTTTAATTTGCTTCAGCTTCAACTTGAACTTGCATATGAGCAAGTGGACATCAGCAGCTGGCTCCGGGCCTTTTTTTGGATGATCAGATTGAGCTCCTCTATTGCCTCTTTCCACAGAATAAATTTGATACGTATGTATTCCATCCAGCAAAGCCCATGTGTATAGTCACTGTTTGTGTTGTTGCTTGTTGTAGTTAAAACCATGAGAAGAAATAAGATCAAATATTTCCAGACATTACATTTTAATAGATAATAAGTAATGCCTATTGAAATGGGAAATAAAATGGCCTCAATAAAAGTTAATAAGGAATTCCAGTTTCTTTATGGCAATCTTATGGTCAATGAAGCAATCTGAGTCACAAGAATATCATTTTCCCAAAGTATTTAATGAAACTTCATTTTGTTTTTCATTTAATATGAATTTTTAAATGCAGCCAAAATCAGGAAGAAAGGGAGAAGTGACTTGTAATAGAAAAAGGTGACAAACAATCCCTCAGCCAGGTGATCAAGGTTAATATGATCGGTGATAAGTTGTTTTGTTGGCACATACTCCTGATATGGTTGATGAGAATGGCACTTCCCCTCTACAGTCCTCCTCCCCAAACCTCAATCTAACCATGAGACAAATATTGGAGAAGTTCAATTGAGATTCTGAAGGGGGGAACCCTCAAAACTATAAACACAAAGCCATCAAGAATCGGAAAGGATGAGAAATTGTCACAAGCCAGAGGAGGCCAGGGAGACATGATGGTTAAATGTACTGTGGTGTCCTTATTGGGATCATGGAACAGAAAAAGAACTTTGGAGGGGAAACTGGTAAAATCTAAACACATGTAGAATTTACTGAAAAGTCCTACATCAATGTTCATTTCTTAGTTATGAAAAGTCTACTGTGGTGATATAAGACATTAATAATAGATAAAATTGGGTGCAGGGTATGAAGATAGTCTCTATACTGTCTTCAAGACTTTTCAGTTCATCTAAAATGATTCTGAAATAAAAAGTATATTTAAACAAAATTCAGCTAGCAAACATTTTTATTTTCCTTGAATTAGCTGTTAGGCAAAATCAGATTTCTCTGCGTAGTGTGTAGAGATATAGGGCAGAAAAGCAGTGCAGAGAAAGGCTCCTGGGGGAAGTCAATGCCGCATGGCAACCAGGAACAGGAAGGAGATGAGAGGCTGAGGGTAGGACAGTCTAATGTTTAGGAGCGGGTCAGCAGTATCCAATGCCAAGAAGCCTAGTAAGATAAGGACCTATAGGTCCACAGGGAAATTGAATAAAAAGCTCCCAAACAAATCTGTACTTAAATGGAAACTTAATATCTAGGCAGATGGCCTTACAAACTGGTGGTGGAAATGATGGATTAATTATTCAATCAATGATTCTCAGGTGATTGGTTTACCCATATGGGGGAAAAGTAGATCCCTGCCTCAGACTATTTACAAAAATCAACTCAAGGTAGATCAAAGACCTGAAGATGATCAAGTGTATAAATCTTTTAAAAATAGGCAATTTTATACCCTTGGAAAACCAAATGAGCAACAACAACAAGAACACATCTGCCAGCAAGTCAATTCTGACTCTCAGTGACCCTATAAGACCCAATCTCTAGGAAGCGCCTTTGGGCTTCAGGGAATTTAAATCTTCACAGCAGCAGACAGCCTCATCTTTCTCACCCCAGGGTAGGGTAGACCCCAACATTCTAAGCACAAAACAAAACAAACATTTAATATTAGAATTTAAATGCAGACTAAAACAATAGTGGAATATGCTAACTATATGCTAGCATTAAATTGGCTACAAAAAAACCTTAAAAATCTAGCAATAGCAAGTTTTGGAGAACTGGAACTCTCATACATTACAGGAAATAAGACATGTTAATAAAACCATTTAGGAAAACAATTTGACAATATCTAATAAAAATGAAGACGCACATATCTCCTGGTCAAATGATTATATTGGTAGATATATATGCAAAATAAAATTTCATATATATGTATATGTGTACAAAAAGATATGAAAAAAGCAGATAAGACTATTTCTTACAGCATTATTCATGACAGTTAAAAATTGGAAACAATCTAAATGCCCATCATCCGGAGACTGGATAAATAAATTACAGTGCACGTATATTTATGCAATATGTGACAGATGTTAAAATTGAATTATTTTGGTCTCCTTCCAAAGTGAGATTCAGAATCACCACGCAGGACTTACAAATTTTGAAAAACCAGTCAGCAATTTACTTCTCAGCACCCTGAGCATTCTAGCAACTTGGCAGTTGGGATAGAAAGAGAAACAGGGGTCATGTTAGAACTGGCTTGTGCTCTCAGGAGTGGATCAGGGCAAAGGGTACACCAGTGAACACATGCAAGAGAAAGAGTTGCTAATTGGAAAATGTTGTGATTGATATATATATTTACAACAATAAGAGAGAGAGAAGCTGTAGGCTTGTTAGGTTTCTGGGGCGGTTTACCTCGGTTCTTGCTTCTCAGCGCTGAAAGAATTCACGTGGCAGAAGCACTTTTGTAAATCCAAGTCACTTTTATGAGGGAAAGGGAACTTTCAGGTATTACAATCTCAGAAAGTACATGCTATCTTTGGGAAGTGTGCAAGGCTGCATGGCGGGGCTGTGGGAAAGTTCGTGACTGAAGATGGCTCTGTGTTTCAGGGACGCACAGAGAGACATGTGGAAGGAATACTGGATCAGGAGCATGGACTCAGTTCGCAGAGCCACAAGCCGGAAATCTGAGTTGGGCATGCAGGCCCACCCCATGCACCCACTTGCAGTGCGCATCTAAACAAGAGAAGAGAGAAAGGGTCTGAGGCCTACCTGCAACCTGCTCTTCTTCTCCCCTCCCATCCCCAGTGACTGGAGAGGTTTGGTCGGGGGTATTGTTCAGATCTTATTGGCTGAATTTAGTCACACCTGTGTGATACCATGTCGCTGATGCCTAGTCTGTGCACCCAGGTAGACCTCCCACCTTGATCTAGGTGACTTGGGTCTGAGCATGCTCACTTCTGGATTTTCCTATGTGCTTAATTAGGGTGCCTGATTTTTTTTCCAACCCCTTTATTGTGGCTCTGCCAGCCGAGTTCCTCTAGAGCAGGCATACAGGAAGACAACTCCCCTTTATCACTAATCTAGCGACCTGTCTGTATCATTGTATATCTTGTGCAACCTGTAGATCTTGGGACCCTGGAGGGGTACAGGAACTTCAGCTACCAGATGCCCAAGTGCTGAAGAAGGTAGCCATTATTAGAAACCAGCTGGAAGCAATGTACCCCCGTCCCGCCCAGTCAGAGAAATGCTAGTGAGCCCCAAAGGAACTCACAGAATACCGCCCCCCCCCCTACCCGTGACAATGAGAGCCAGACTCAAATGCCTGCCTCTACTGTGTTTTGTGAGAGATCAGAAGCCTTGGCCAACCCTAGATTGTGTCCAGGAGCAAGGAAATAACTAACCATGCAGAATAAATGTCAGGAGTCAGTAGAAGACAAAAACTCAAGTGTTTTAAAATGATGTCTCAAATATGGTGTTTGTCCAACATGTTGGTTATATGTGGAATGCATGCAAAATGATTAAACTGGAAGAATATTCATCATCAGAGATAAATGCTAAAACAAACGTTGAAGGAAAAAAAGCAATTTGTTGCAGAACTAGCATAGGATGGTACCATTTACTTAAAGTTTGAATACATGCAAAATAACACCACATGCTACATATTTTGTTATATACAAAACAATTTTAAAATACCATGTGTTATTTTTGTATGCTCTGTAGTAATGTTATAAACATG